ACTCTCTGTGCTTTTCCAGGCTTTGTCTGAGCTACAAAAATGCTCCCATATCTGATTGTGTTTTAATACAGGCAGCTGGCTGAGGCCAGACACACTGTAACTACACATACAGTCAAAGACAAAATCAAGAATTATCTCAGAAATTATAGTTTTAAACTTCTTGGTCTTACCATCAGGGCTTTTACAGGGGCTCCTCATGTTAGGAAGACTGAGTCTGCCTTAGCACAAGGGCCAGATCAAGCTTCTCCTCATTTTATCACTCTCCCCACCACCCTACAAAAAATTAAACAAACAAATAAACAAACAAACCTACACTTTGCAGATTCCCCTTCTTACATCAGCTGCCAGAAGGTACTTAAGTCTTCATCTTTGCCAGCTGCTGCTCATTCCTGCTCCCAGCCTAAGGCAGCTGGCAAGGCAAATCCTGGAAAGGTAATCCTATGACAAAAACCATCAAGTGCTTTTCCTGCTCCCAGCAGAAGGCAGCTGGCAAGGCAAATCCTGGAAAGGTAATCCTATGACAAAAACCATCAAATGCTTTCAGGACATATTACAGGTAATATGTGATTTGTTTTGTTAGGATATCTGTTCTTCAACTGCAAAAGGTGAACAGTGGTTCTGAAATGAGTAGGTGTGGATTGTAGCTGAAGGCACAACAGCATAATTGAATCGCCTCTCCCGTACCAAACCAGAGCTCTCATTTTCAATTTTACCTTAGCTATGAGTTAATGTGCCAGCTACATTTTGATAATGACTTGCTTCTGCAGCCTCTGGGTAACACAAATTGATCCTGATGTGCAAAACCCTGACTGCTGATATCGACTTGGTGGGATGCTTTTTACAAATCAACAGAGCTCTGAATCCACCCATCTTCCTCTCTGTGAAAGTGTACCAAGGCCCTATCACTGCAGCAAACTGTGGTAACTGGCCTTGCAAAAGAGAGGTCTGGCAATTGGGGCTGTAACAGCTGGAAGAGAAGGAATGAGCTCGGGAGATCACTTGGCTGCCAAATCTTGGGCCTGCCTTCCTCTGAGTTTATCATTGTATCTATGAAGATTCATGAGTTGTGGGCTGGTTGACATGAAGATAGCTCCTCTCTGCCTTCCCCTTCTCTCTGTCCGTGTGCAGTTCCATTTCTTTTGTGTTAATTGGCTCAAACAAGATTTCCCCCGAGACTTGGGCAGTTGTATCATCAGCCAGTAATCCGGTAATTCCCTTGGACATGGAGGAGTCCCTTGTGTGTTACTCTACAACTGCATTTTGCAAGTGTTGCGCTCCTCCGTGATAAGCCAAATCGATGTTGTGTTGTGATCAAAGACGTCCTTGTCCTCAGAGCAAATTCCAGCCCAGCTATGATAGTTGGTTGCTCAGCATATCATACAGCTGAGCAGCAGAAATTCTCAAGATGTCACCGTCTAAAGCAAAAAGCCTTTGGAAATTAAACCTTTTTTTTTTTTTTTTCTCACAGAGGACAAGCTTTGATACTTCTTCTGAAGTAATTGGCACAAAGCATGTCCTGAAAGTCTAAGTGGCTTCCTTAGACTTTCACAAGGCAGCTATCATTGATATCTGAGCTTTCTTATGTCATGCTAAGAGTGTACACCATAATAACTGAATATTTGTAGTTAAATAAGAAAAAGTGGATTTCTGGTTTTAGCATCCCAGCCAATGGGAAGAAAGGACTTAACTCCTCCTCTTTCACCTCAGCAATCTCTAAGCTACGAGCAGCCAGTCCTGCTTTACAAGAGTAAAAGGCATTAAAACATCCCTATAGCTTAAGATGTCTGTGGGCTTCAGGCTGTGGCAGGTGGACCTCAGCTTCTGCCTGGGTCCTGCCCTCCTCCCGGTGCATCGTCTGCACCTTGGCCGCTCTGCAGTCCAGCAGAGACGGAATCACCCATGTTTAAAGAAAAGGCCCTGCTTTAGAAGTTGTTTTCTCAACCTGGAGAGCACATTTTAATTGCACTAAGCCAAGAAATCACTAGATGGCCTCATAACCTCAGCGATTTGGGCAGATGCAGGGCTGTGTAATTGACAGATTTATTTTTAAAAGACCTGGCACCGTAAGTGCTGCAGGACTTAATGCTCATCACCTCAGGCAATGCACAAAAGCCTTTTCAAACTGCAGGATGTGAAATTTGGGACTGGAAAGCTACAGAAAACCTTATTTGTCACTCTTGTTGTCATAAAATGCTTGCATACAGTGCTTAGGGACATGGCTTAGTGATGGATTTGGCAGTGTGCTAGGTTAGCAGTTGGACTTGATAATCTTAAAGGTCTTTTCCAACCAAAATGATTCTGTGATTCTATTCCCTAAATCCTGGCAGATGGGACAGGAGATGGGGCAGAGACCTGGTGGCAGCAGTTGGAGAGCTGCAGTCTCTTCAGCCGCCCTTGGCTGGAGCCAGATAATCAACACAGCAAAACCAATCCCTGCAGGAATGATGGCCACGGGATCACGGACCAGCCAGCTGGGAACTCAGGAACCACCTCCAGCCCCAGCCCGGCCTGACTGCCCCCTCAACAGGGGCTTGGTCCTGACCCTGAGCCCACCTGAGAGGTGGAGGTAGAGGACAGAGGCTGGGGGGAAAGGGAGGAGATGCCAGAGGGTTTTGTTTCACTGCCAGGGGAAAATACACTTTGTGGCCCCTGAGGAACCACCACTGCTTGTGTGCTGTCGGGTGGCTGACCTGCAGCAGAGCTGTGCCTCCGGGAGTGACAACAAAACAGTGCTTTGAGGGAAGAAGCCTCTTCACAACCGTAGTGAAGAGAGTTTGGGGAGGAGAGAAGCAAAGGGACCTTAAGAGCAGCAGAAATAATAGGATGGGTGGAGCATGAGGAAAAGAAACGTGCAGGGGGCAAGACGGAGGTTCAGCTCACCCGAGGAACAGACCCAGCACTGGAGCACTGACGGGCTGGTCTTCTGGTGGCTGATGCCTTCAGTAGTTGTCACTGCTTGAGGCTGGGAAACCTGGGTGAGTCTGTTTGACAGAGGCCTTGATCTGATGTGCAAAGGGAGTAAAAAAGACTGTCTCGTTTTCACTGCTGTCATGTTTGGAGATCATAACACAGAACCAAGGAATGGTTTGGGTTGGAAGGAACCTTAAAGATTGTCCAGCTCCAACCCCACTGCATGGGCAGGAACACTAGACCAGGTTGCTCACAGCCCCATTCAGCCTCGCCTGGAACATTTGCAGGGATGTTGTTATTATTCCTTGTCCCACGTGAATTTTTACTCACGTTTTAAGACACAGAGCTACTTTACATCGACACGAGTCTTTAAAGAAGCGTTTCAAACGCAGCGGGAGCAGAGCTATGGCACGGCGCCCGGCCAGCCACCTGGAACAGACCCAGCCGAGC